GTACAAAAAACCAGCCGCTGAAGCTACAAATCTGAAAATTTGTTTACCGGCTAATTTTGGGTCTTTCATATCAAAACTAAAATCGAAAATTGTAAAAAGCTATTACATTTACCGTTATTCAGCGCCCATTATGTTGGTCAGTGGTACTCTAGATTTGTAAACAATAATTTTTCTTTTTTTCTTTGCGAAATATATTTCAAAACTGAGAATGACATTTAACATTTTTATCGGATCTCAATTTCACCGAAAAATAGTTAATTTGTTCATATATATTACACTACTCAATATCGATTTTTGTGACACTTTTCACTTTTGTGAAAAAACACAGTACATTAAAAGAAATGCGGTAAATAAGAGTAATGCACTTTTCTCGAAACAACTGTTATTTAAAAACAAAAGCTTTTATTTAAGTAGAAAAGACCTTTGTGTACAAAAAAAGTTTGTCCAATATAAAGGACGATTGTACTGAAAGGGTTAATTTGATATTAAGTTTGTGCAATTTGAAATAACGGTGTAGACCTTTACAAGAAATGTATTCTCCCAGATTATATGTAATTTACATAAATAGATAGATTTTGCTTTTTAAATAGGTGGCAACCCTAACAAAATTTTTTGTTTAACTTAACTCTTTCGACTGACACTCATATTTTAATATTTCACTTACTTTGAGAGATTCGGCTTTCCAAAATCTCTTTCGTCTGCTATTGTGTTACATATTTCAATTAAGTGATTAATTAAGTTGAGCACAGAGCTGTTCTCTTTAACCCAGTTCAGAAAAAAATCTTTTTTTATTCATACCCATCTTTTGATGATTCATTTAACTTATTAAATAGTTTGCATTAACCTTTTTTACCAAGCAATGAGGCTCTTCATCACCTCGAAAAAATCTAAATGTTCACACTAAATATTTCTTTACTCCGTTTGTGTATACATAAGTTAACTAAACTCCATTTTTAAGACAGGTGGCAACCATTTTGAACGTATTTTTAAACTACTGCCTTCTTAAACCCCTTTCGTGGCACCCATATTGTGACGCATATTTCAAATTGAACTTGATTTCTTAAACAGTTGGCAACCCTCCTACATGTAGTTGAGAAATAAAGCCTTTTTTAAAACCATTTCGATTTATATCCATATTGTTATAATTGATATAACTTGTTTAAATTATTTAAATTTAATTCTTTAAAAGGTGGCAACCATTTTCGAAAAATTTAAACCATATTACACATTACTTACATATTTTCATGGTTATTGTTATCTTTATCTGCATATTTATCACTAGTTGAAATTTTGATCCCCATTTGCATAGTAACAAGGGTAGGTAGATACTGTAAGTATACAATCAGTACAAACATGGCGAGCGTTTAATTGTTAATGTCAACGATTTATGAAAAAAATATAAGCGATATAAATAAGTAGATACTTTTCTCAAAGCTTTATGTCAAATAAATTCATTTAGGATTAGATAATTGGGTGCTGCTGGTAAAAATTGTCTAACAATTTGAAATGCAGGACATACGAAAAAACAGTACAAATGTATTACATGTGCTCCTGTAGTACATACTTACATACATGCCCAAAGCCATACTCACACCGCAACAAGATTCACCATTGCCAATACAAAAAGAAAAACAACAAATACCAATAGGAGTATGTTAAAATCATCGATTTATGTACTACTGTCGCCTTGCTTCGACTCAATTACGTGGGTGGAGTTTTCCAATATCCATAAGCGCCATACTCACACACACGCACACATGCAGTACCGCGTCGGCGCCAACACCATCAACGCCAATGTGTAGGTGCTTAAATGTCAGCTTTCGTAAGTGTGTGGGTGAACTTTATGGAGGCGAATTTATGTATAACACATACATATATATGTAGATACGTGTGTATGCCGCAGCGCTTTTACCCAGCGAAGCGGACAAATGTTGCGTCCAATCAGAATCGAAGATTCATATAAGCAGTTTCCCCATTGTTGCCTCCTCATCCTGGCATGTTCACGCCATCGTGTCATATGGGAGAGTGTACACATCCTACATAAATGACACATGCGGGAGATGAAAAAAAAAATAATATAGAAGAAACGAAGTGTGTAGCACATACGGCGAATATGTATGTATGTGAATCGGGGAAAAGAAAGGAAGAAAATCTTAAAAAAATGATGCAGAAAAGAAATAATAGCGTATGTCACAACACACACAGCAAGTGGGGAAGTGTGAAAATAGTACATACATATGTTGGAGAACTAGCAAGGATATATGTACATAGTACATACATATTTATGCAACGGTATGCGAGGAGGAGTTGGACGGGTTTTTATGTGTCTGCCTTATAAGAATCTTATACACATATGACCATATGAATGCATATATTTGTATATGTATTTGTACATACATACATATGTATGTAAATATAAAGACGGTAGGTAGGTGATTGTTGGAAAAATTCAAAAACAGAAAAATTAAATAAGTCGGACTCAGTCGTAAATATTGGGGAGGATAGGGAATAGGGGATAATAATAATTTAGCTCTCAAAGGGCCTAGAGACTTCTACTTTGGCTTAAATTAAGGGTCTTGAATAGCACTAAAACTCACTTGTTGCTCGAGGGATATAAAAGTGTGTGAAGGATGCACAACTGCATGCAAATCACAAAAAATGCAATATATAATGCATTTTTTTTCAAAATCTATAATATTAGTATAATAAAGAATGCAAAAATGTTTTTTTTTTTAATATATCCGTTCGAGTTTGCATGTTTTTTTCGATGAACACTATTTTTGAAATTTTTTTTTAAGGTCAAGGAGTAACTGTGGCTCAATGGCAATATTTTTCCGTGAAAGGGAATTACATTAGTATTCGAAGTCATTTTATTTCATATCAAAATATTGCTTCTGTCGAAAGCGGTACAATTAATTCGCGTGAAGTGTTAAAAAGGCGTCGAGTTAGCTCGAATATCTTATTTTTCAGACGAGAAATTGTAATTTTGAAAATTTCAAATTACTACGGTGTTTTTTTCTCAAAAACATATGACTCAAAACATATGATTTATAAAAATATAATTCATTTAAAAACAATGAGGCGTATTCTGGTTTTCGTACGAATCAAAAATTTGAAATTTTTGAATACAAGATGATAGAAAAATTTCATGATTTTCGATTCGTACGAAAACAAGAATACGCCTCAATATATAATATAATAAAATAAAATGTCTATCATACTTGGGCGTACAAAATTTTTGATTCTTATCAAATAAGGTGTGATTGACAACTAAACAGGTGGCAACCCTACTAAACAAATATATACATATATAATTGCGCATCTGGAGGCCAAGCCATTTCATTTGGCACCTCATTTCTTGTAACCTAAAAGTGTGTTTGCATTGTTCAACTTTGCGTTCAACATTTGCGTTCAACTCAGCGCAGGGTTGCACGAAAAAAAGTTTAATGGCTAAAAATATCAAAATATTCGCCATAAAAAGGTGTTTGCATTGTTCAACTTTGCATTCAACTTTTGGTTGAACGGCCTTTCAACTAATCGCTTTCAACAAAGTTGGTCGCCAGCCAACATTTGACCATTCAACTTTTTTTTCGTGCAACCCTGCGTTGAGTTGAACGCAAATGTTGGACGCAAAGGTGAACAATGCAAACACTGCTTAACGAACAGCCCACATAATTTTTCACACAGGTTGCAACCCCATTCTAAAAATAAAACCTTACTCCAAATCTGAAGGCCAAACCTTTTAATTTGACACCTCATTTTTCAAAGTGAATGAACTGTGCAAATCTAAAGTCATTAACAAAAATGCCCTCGCGTATTATACATAAATAATTTTTAAATAGATGGCAACCCTACTTAAACAAAAAATAAAAACTTATTTCACATGCAGAGACCATATCCTTTCACTTGGTACCTCGGTTTTTAGTCCGAAAAACGCTGAAGATCTTTTTATTTATAAAAAGTGGCAACCCTACTCAAAAAGTAATGCATTATTGAATATCTAGCCCTTTTGAACGCCGAGTCCTTTTATTTGACACCTCATTTCTTGTAATCCAACGAACAGTGCGGAACTTATAATATTTTAGACAGGTGGCAACCCTAAAGGAATTTAAATTACTAAGGATAATACTCCGATCGATTCAGATTATTCTTAAAAAATCTCGTCTAAATCCGTTCAGTAGTTTTTGAGATTAGCGTGTTCAAAGAATCTGGACTTTTAAACTACGTATAGAAGATAGTAATTTTTAAATAGGTGGCAACCCTACTCAAAAAAATTAAAATTTTTGTACATGCGAAGGCTATGCCCCTTCATTTGATATCCCATTTTGTAATTCAATGAACGATGAAAATCTGTTTACTTTTTATTAAGTGGTAACCTATTTTTATTTAGATAAAATAAAAATCAGAAATAATTGTTTTTTGAGGAGTAATTAAATAAAAGTAAAAAAATAACTGTTAAAGAGCGATTTTTTAAATAAAATTTGTAACTGTGACGGTCCCTGGTGAAATGTAAAGATTTTTGGTATTTAAGAGCGCAGCAATAGCTTGCCTATCTTGCAAGCTGTAAAAGCTTGCCGCAAGGATTTTACTTTAATTTCATTGCCTTGTAAAAATGTGGGCTTCAGTAATGCAGTACGTACCTCTGTTTTGACTACCATGTCAGTCCGATCATTCCTTAAAATTCCTTTGTGTACCGGCGCCAAATAAATGGCGACTAGTCTATTAACGCAAAATTCATCTATGCTATTCCTATTCCTATATTCAATTCCAAGATTTTTTCTAAATAAAAAAAGTTTGCCAAGAAGTGCGCAAATAGCCAGTGTCGCTGAGCTTAATATGCCCAAAGTATGTAAACAAAAACTGATTTTTTTACATAATTTTTTTCTTTATTGTACGCTTTTTATTTAGTTTTCTAGAATTTCCAACACGACTACCCTTGTACGGATCCTAACCCCTCCTTCGTGTACGGCGATTACGACGACCTGCACGACGCCTTCTACCACCGCGGCGTCGACGACGACGACGGGCACGCGCCTCTTCACTCTCTGCACCTTCAGTGCTATTTTGGTCAACCTCCACCGCGGCATTCTCAGCTACATCGTCTCTCAAAACTTGTGGATTGTTATAGGAATCTTCATTAGCCTCATCGGTTCCATCTACTTCATGATGATTATCATCATCATCATCGTTATCGTTGTCGTTATCGTCATCATCATCATCGTTATTGCCACCTTGCTTCGTGTAGCTCAAACGATTGTTGGTGTTGTGTTGAGTTTCTCTTCTAGCAGCAATTTCATCGCGGGTCAACACGCGTTGAATGCGTCGAACTTTTACAGCTGAGGTATCCTCGAAATGTTGCGCCAAGCAGAGGATCGCTAAGAGTGCCGCCAGGAAGTATGCAAACTTTGAAGACATATCTACTAGTATTGGACCAGAGCGGCTGCCTGCGTTGTTCGTTGATCGATATTCTGTGCTTATGATGCCGCAATCGAGCTTTTGTTTAGCTTTTATAGCTGAGTCGCAAGTACTTGTAGCCAAGTGTTTTACACCAGCACTTGGACAAATAAAGGTGTGTACGACTAGGCACGTGTTTGAAAGGTAAGGTAGAAATGGCAGAAGAAACAGTTGCAGTCTATTACAAATACCCAATTTCCTAACATACTACATATGGCACTAACTTAAGAACATTTTCACAGTTTTTACTATGAGTTTGAGCAAGACTGTAGTTATGAACTTATTTCATCATCGCCAATAATTTGTCGATTTCAACCGCCTTTTTAAAAACCTTGAAAAAATTGGTATAAAACCAAAACACATTTATCGTATCCATTATTACTCGATTATTCTTCGCCTCGAGTAAAATAAAAAGGCGATTTGATAATGTTTCTGAAAATATTAATTTTTATCTTCGTGGCGAACCTTTGCAGTCCTTCCGATTCGTTGGGTTTGCGCAGAGTTTGTAATTTGTTTGGGCACTGCACAACTACAACCCCTAGGCCATCGACTTACACAATAACACTTAGTCCAACATCGCCGTCGACGACGAGTCCAACGTACTCGCCACCACCACCGTCGTCATTGACAAGTCCTACCTCGCCAACGTCACCAACCTCACCAACGTCAACAACGTCGCCAACAACACCGACAACAACGAATGCAACAACTCGTAGTTTTGATGAGGACACTGGCGCCAGAGCTAGGCGTCCACGTTTGCGAAATCGTGTGAATCGACGAGGAAGGCGAGGAAGAAGGCGTAGAAGAGGTTAATGCTAAGACAAATGATTGACGGTTAAAAACATGAAAGTAATAAAAGAAAATTTGTGATTGCGTTAAATCTTTAGTTTTATCAGACTCTTAGGTATGGTGTGTAAATATTGTTAAGCGATGAGAAGCCATAAGACTGTATTGATTTATTTGATCATTTAATTTTTTTTGCGCAATTCATTGTGGCTTTTATATAGCTTCTAAGCTAGCAAAGTTAGATTAGGATGCGTTAGAGTGATTGCCACCACGCAGAGCACGGAGTCACACATAATCTGATAAGCAAGATGGCTGAGCGATTCTCTTATTAGTAACTATCTTTTATGATAGCCAGGCAGTTGTTAAAGCAATTAATTGTAATAAATCTGCATTGAAGATTACCATGTAATGTAAACGTGCTCTAAATGAGCTGGCAAGGTATTACGTCACTAATGTTTTATTGGTGCCAGGCCATAACGAAATACCAGGCAAATTCTTTGCAGAAGAGCTAGTAAGGATAGGAGCCTTGCTGTTGGCAATAAGTACAGCTCATAATGCGCGCATTCCGCTATCTTCCTGCATACTCTGGCTGGATAATCACTTTAGCGAACGGACAAATATAAGATGGTCTGCGTACGTGCAGGATAGCAATACATATCTGGCCTAAACTGGATAAGTGTAGATCTCGCCCTCTCCTGCTCATGGAGCGACCACTGCTCCGGCATGTATTTGGAGTTCTCACTGTGCACTGCCCGATAGGAACCTACGCTGCTAGTATGGGTTTGCAGTCAAACGACTACTAAATACTTATGTCATTGCCCCGCTTTGGCTAGGGCTCTTCGACGGTCATTTCTCCATTATTCTTTTGAATGTCTGGCTTAACTGAATTCAGCCAGTATCTACGACTTTGTGCACTTTAACAGAGCTACGAAGTGGTTCTATTTCTAAGGTAAGAGAATGGGCATGAGGAGTCTCTAATATGGCATCACAACAGGCCATGGTGGCCTAAGTGTGCCCTTTTCCTGTGCGGGATGAGGGAAGCCAAGATAATCTAACCTAACCTAGCCTGAGAAAAGAGTGGTCCAACCGGGTGATGCCCACGGACCGCTTTACATAAATTTTTAGGCACATTTTTCTGATGGTATATTAGGTATTTTCCACAGCCCTCCTGGCCTTTACCTCCTCGATAAGTTTAGCTTTTAGCCTGCGTTTGCAGAAGGCCAGAGGTGTGCCCGCATTTTGGGCAGAATTGATTTCGGATATTTCCGTCCCTGTATTTTCCATCTCGCAGGCTATGCAGTTGCCAGGAATGTGCCTGTATCCGTGGATCCATGAAACACTGAAGGAACAATTTAATGCCAGTAGGTTTAGGATCTTTCTGCATTTTCTGGACTTTGAACGCTGTTCCATTAGTTTTTATAGCCGCCTAGCTGTCAGAATAAATAGCTAAAGGCCATCCTGGTAAAGCGGATGTTATGAGCCATGGAGCGGCCTCTATTATGGCGTTTAACTTAGCCTGAAAAGCGCTACTATCGTCAGGTAAGCGGAAAACAAGGTTTAGCGCGAGTTCAGCATTTATATATATCGCCATTGATCCTGGGTCTAAGTCTGTGGCCTCTAAGTAAGCAAACAAAGCTCGAAATAGGTACTGCGTAGCGGAATAAAGTGCGACCTAGAAGCCGAAGCTGATTACCTCACGTGATCTTAGGATTTTAGTGTTAAGATTCCCAATGTTAACGTTGGGTTTCAAAGCAGTAAAGCTGAAAGTAATACCACTGATTTATGTTCCATTAAGAAGGATTAAAGAATACTTCACAGCCGTGACCATTCGGGATGACTTCTATATCTCAAGATCTTTATGGCCGAGACTAAATAACAGTTGTAGTGATGCCAAAGAAATCTGCAGTAAGGGCTCTTACCTACGTTATCACAGGGCGTACACCAACAAGCTGCCTCTGCAAAAGTTGTCGTGATGATAAAGAAAAGGAAACAATTCACTACTACTCAACTCTCCCGACAAGACATCTCCAGTATTTGGGATCAAGCCTTTTCAATAGTTTTGGGGCGATAGCGTCTGTGAAATTATCGGAGCTATACTCACAATATAAAGTAAATTCGCTCAGATGGATGTGGCTACACCTGACTCAAGTCCTCCTCTGAGTGTAAATAGTTGAGCTTCAAGCAAACGATGACGCACAGCGTCCAACGTCGAAAACCTACATATAACACTAAACTCGCCAGGGAATTTTTATCAGAATCGGAGCAATTCAAAGACAAATTAATCTATGCAAAAGCTATCCACGTAATGGGTGCTATCGATTGCTTACACTCGAACATGAGAACAACCGTGTGACCATTTCAAATAAGTGTCTGGCGCCGTTCCACCGCATTGTGGACGAGTTTTTGCACCGTTTTGAAACCACCAAGGTAAAAAGAAGCAGATCCTCTCAAGTGAAGCCAAATGACTTTAGACCTAAAAGCCTTACCTTCTTCTTTCTATAAACCGCAGAACATACATATATCCGAGAAGCTACATCCGAGGGGGTGAGCTTTTGATGAGAGGACCGTTAGAATAGACATGCCGCTAGGCGGAACTATCTCCCCGCTCATGTCGAATTTAACAAACCGAAACTTAGAAAAGACCATTAGAAATCCATGGCTGAAAAGGTAGACATCTCATATGAGCGGGCATATTACATTTTGCGCGATGGGTGCTTGCGATCGCCCGCACTCAACCTGAAGACCAACCGTGTGACCATTTCAAGGAAGTAATTGGCGAAGTTCTACCAAACTGCGGACGAGTTTTTGTGCCATGGATATATTAGAGACGAAGGTAGAGTCAAGGCACCAAATAAAGCCTAGATAAATTTGTCCGCCAACAAGGTGCTGGAGTCTCCAGCCTTAATTAACAGCATGCTTATCAGCTTTCAGTAATATAATCTTAATTCAAGTAAAGTGGCTTTTGAAAATTGAATGCGCAATATTGGTAAAATATATTTTACCGTTAACTATAACCTTTTCCGACTTTTGATAGCAGATTGCTGAACTATGGGGAAAAGAAAATATCAATCCAATTTTTCATGCCTTCAACTGAAGTGAAAAAGCTTACTCCAATAAAGGCGTTCTGCATCGACCGGTAGTCTGATGGTGGAAGATCTGCGCTATACGGTGGATGGGTTAGGACTTTCCACCCAATACCACTTGTGCGACATGCGGCCGAGCATTGTAATGATGGAAGCTTAATGACCCATATCTGGTTGCCCATTCCGGTAACCCTATAGATCTTTTGGCCACTTTTTAGAAGCTCATCATAAATGATACCCTTCAGGTCCCTTACCTTTCTGCCATATATATTTGGTTTTGGCATCGATGGTCCGGGTTCACCTTCTGGCTCCTTGGATTGTCGTAATGAATAAATTTTTCATCGCCGGTGACAATCCAATGCATAAACTACTTCGCTTTATACTATTGAAGGAGCATTTCGGCAACAGTGACAAGCTGTTCTTGAATTTCTTGCTTTTAGTTCGTGAGGCACCCAGTTTCCGACTTTCTGGATCTATGTGACAAAATCTAGACCAAGCCACAAATTGGAGAAGAAGCTCGGCCAAAAAACTAACACATGTGTAAGCGCCAATCTATTTTTACTAGAAGAAATTCAACTCGGTTATTATTTTGGAGACCGAATCGATTTATAGCCTACCTGCCATACAAAGAAAAGAAGCTAAATTAAAAAAAAAAAAAAACATTAGCATTCGTTTTACTACTTCATTTATATTTATTTTGTTAGGAAATTGTAAATTGTGCAATAGAATATCGAGCTACAAAGCAAAGATAAATAAAATAATAAAAGAATAAAAGAAAATGGGCCAAAAGCCACATAGTATGATCATTACATATCCATACATACATATATATGAACGATAACACATTTGTGCAAACATTTGCTTCACTCCCCCCTCAGATATTGTCTTACTTATTTACAATATTTTTTCTTTGGTATAAAAGGCGATACTTTTTGGGTTATCAGCATTAAAATCATTTCTAACTTCCAACAGTGCAGTTAAAATGGCGATCAAACTGCTATTGCTAGCTGTTGCATTGTTGACCTGCCTTTCGCAGGGTGAAGCTATAAACTTCAAGAAATTATTCAATCTACAAGCAACACCGGCACCATCACCATCTACATACACAATTACTATTAGTCCCACAGCTGTCTCGCCTTCTACAACTACGTACACACCAACACCACCATCTATTACAACAGTAACGCCGACATCGACATCGCCATCCGTAACAACATTGCTTACTCCGCCTGCTACGGGTACTGGAACCGGTACTGGAACCGGTACCACAACTGGAACTCGTGCAATGGCTGATGAAGGAGATGGTGGTAGGAGTCGTAGACGACGCAGACGCCGTGGCCGTAGGGGTCGACGTGGTGGTAGACGTGGAAGGCGTGGTATTAGAAGACGCGGTTGATATGTAAAATGAAATATGATTAGCAATAAATGTTGTCTCAATAGAATGCGCTTGAAAAAGAAATCTTGCTTTATCTATTCAGCGGGCAAAGGATAAGAGGAATACAGTAAACAATTTGGGAATTGTCTTCAAGTTTCATGTGGTGAGAGGATTTGGTGGGAAGAAGTACTGGTACTTTTGGTTCTAGCTCTGGTTCCTTAACGAACTTTGCTTTGTTGAAGCGGAGCTAGCGAGAGGAAGTGCTGATTTAGTCATACGGCGGTGATGACTGGCCTGGATGTTCGACAGGTTACGGTTAATCAGTGGGGTTCGATAGTACCCGTAGTCGTGTGGTTAGATATGCAAACTATCGTTTGGTAGGCCCAGGCTTGATCCAGGTTGCTGGTCCCAGCAACATCCAATTTTTTTAATACATAGCGGTCAGCCTTTGGTAGGCAATGGCAAATATTCGTATTTCTGCCATGAGCGGTTTTGGGGGTAAGTGAAAAGGTGTTTGGCAGGGCTTAGCTTCACAGACCGGTGGTGATTCCTCCCTGCGGCTAAGTGGTTAGAGGAGAACACTACCACTTCGCAGGATCTGGATTCGATCCCTAGTCCGAGTAACATCTAAATTGGAACAAAATATGTCCTGTCGCCCCTCGTCCCTAAAGTGGTGTCGATTTGTCTCTCTGGCTGAGTGGTTACAGCTACGCACTACCACCTCGCAGGAATCCGAGCGTCTTTGCCCTCGGCAGGCAATGAAAAACTTCTTATCAAATCCATTTTCCGTTTAGAGGCGGCGTAAAACTGTAGGTCGCTCCTATTGTGTAAATACATCAATACGCACACCCCAATTTGTAGGAGGAGCTTGACCAAACTCTTAACAAAATGAAGAGAGTGGCCAACGACAAGTTGAGAATGTCAGTTAGGTAATCTACTTCCACCGGACCTACATACATATGTATGTGTATGAATAGTCTGTTGAGACCAATGGATTTGGTATCTTTTGCCTACCCAATGGCCAGTCGAATTTCATTGCTGGAGAATGTAGAAGACGCACTGGGTTTTGGTAGGTTGTGCAGCCTTCGGACCACTCGACATTAAGCCTTATCCAACGAAGGATGCAGGATGTTAACCGCCGGCTAAAATACCTCTCTGTTCGAAGAAACATGTGATTTAAAAATTTACATCCCGTTGCGTTAGGTTGTATAAAACTTCATGTCTGACCGAAGCTCGTTTAATAAAAAAATAGACAATTCTGCCTTGATAGAGCTCAATCGTTATAAATCTACGTACTTAGGATTTTCAGTATCCTATTAAAGGAAATTATAAAAGGTCATTTTCTACTTTTTAAACTTAGTTACCTTACATATCTACCTCAGCGAAAACCCGGACTCTCTCTTCTTTCAGGACTGGATTAATATGCCACTAGACCCGTTGCTGCATCGGGAAATCGGAGCCCTAGTCGCGAAGCGGGTGTTTCGTAGCTACTCAGCCTTATCTGGTTACAGAAGACAAGTATCGGTTTAGGTAAATGATCCTCTAGACAAAACTAGTCGATAGAAGCATCAAGCTAGAGCTGCGAAGGTATACAGCAGGTGCAATCACATCCATTAAATTATCTAATACTTTGATAACCCCTGGTGCGGATAATCCATTTAAGAAATGTGGAGATCTGCTGAGCAAACACGGAGCCCTCTGTGCTTTCCCGAAGTAAGCTTACCACCCAGTGAAAAACGTCTGTTAAGATTATTCCCGATAGACATATTACTCCATCAACATGATGACCTGCATTGTGGTAAACGAGTGAGGCCACCTCACCGATCAGGGAAAATCCGGAGGACTTTGTGATGGTACAATAGACCATTCTAAGCTTGAATTAAATGATACATACATATGGGGAGACTGAGCAAGAGCAATGGAAGAAGCCCCCATTAACCGAAACACCGAAAAGATAAAAAAAAGCACTGAGTAGTTACAAATTTCCGAACTAAATTTTCGCTGAACTCTAAAGAAATGAGACAAGAGATCTTCTGTTGAAAATACTTATTAGTTCTTTATTATTTCTTATGCAATTATTAATGTTCGTTTTGAAATTCACTCCAGATGGCCCTTTAACCTCTTTGACGTCTTCTTCTGCCACCACGACGACGTCTGCCACCTCGGCGACTTCTGCGGCGTCTGCCACCGCGACGCCTTCGTCTTCCACCGCGTCTGCGACGACGTCGGCGACCACGAGTGCCATCATCAGAGTCATCATAATCACCATCATCGCCATCGCTATTGTCATCAATATCACCATCATCTGTATCGGGTTGCAGGGTGCCACCCTTTAGCACTGTTTCTAGGTTAGATTGTATGCCATTTGTATTCTGAAGCCCATTATTGTTCTCCGCCGATTGAGCTCCATTTTCTAAATTTTTGTTGTTGCTATATAATGCAATCTGCGCTTGTTCTTCTTGTTGTTCTTCATCACGACGTGGATTCTGCCTTTTGCCTAGTGTGCTCTGGGTGAAGCAGCACAGAACTGCTAATAGCACAATTAAAATGCTAAGATTTCGGGACATTTCGTTGGCACTTACAATTAGTTGTTGAACCAACGAAACATAGAAGACAATTGATGTATCAAATGCGTTTTGGTATGACTTTTATAATGCTGCTCGATAGAGGTTTGGTGCTAACGCATAAATTGATTAGTAAACTATTTGGGGTCATTGCAGCTGCGTACATTTTTGTGTCTGCTTTTCGAAAATTATTCAGCTGTGCTAACGGGACCTAATTACTATTCGAGTAAAAGAGTAAATGCGGAAAAATACATACAAAGTAAATATTTACATACTTAAGTATTTGGAATCGGTTTTCATTAATGCTTTTTTTTGTGTTTTCCACAACGGTAATTTTGAGTAAATACATAATTGATATTCAGACTTTTTGGTACTGTTTATTATTAAAATTTACCGTTAAAGACGATTTGAATGAATGAAAAATAAATAATTGTCGAATCATTTCCTTAAGAAAATGTTCTTATATTTACAAAGTTTTAGCAAATGGCTTTTTTCCACATTTTGGTTAAAAACTTCAAATTTAAAGTACGGTAATACTTCAGTTTTTGATCTCCATATGCCCTTCATTAATATTAGGATCCTGGAGAAAAAAAACTGTATTAAATTAGACGCATGTGCTCGTGAGAAACTCAAATCCATCAAAAGCGCTCTGGTGAGACCCTTCAAGTTAAAGAGAATCATCTGGGAATCGTTAATTAGACACATTAGAATTGAATGACAACAGCTGGACCACAGTGATATTAACCGTAATTATTTATCGATTCAGCAAATAACCTAATAGGGAGTGAAGTTATGGTTATATGAAGGAAACCAGACCTTCATATCTTAAAGGGATATAGGAACAAAATACAGCCTTTTAAACAAACAGCATGAGTGACACTGAGAAATGATGGAAAGGTATCGAGAACTGAGATAAGGACCAACGGATAAATCCTTCATTCAACCAAATCATACCGATCCATCAAGCTTCTATACTTTCTAATAAAAGCAATAGAAATGATCGTAGACAGCGATAAGATATGGTTTTCTTACGATAAATAATTTGCATAGAAAACCATATGCCAAACCACCAGGAAGGCCAACCGTCCACGCCCCCAGAGTTTTACGATAAACATTTAAACTTCCGTGTAGATTAAGTAGGTGGCCGTAGGTTGCATCCTGGATGTGGAGAATATATTTGATAATACAGAAAAGTCTCTGAAAGACAATTGCATCCAGTGCAAAGGATATTTAAATCTATATTGCAAGTGTCCTTAAATCCAGGGACCAGTGCAGTAGATGAGAAAGAGTTAGTTAACTGGCAACGAAAGAATGCCTACAATCATAAGAAAACTAGCATAGTTACTTTCCCCTGAAAAAGGGAATAACTGCTTGATAAACTTGTCTAAAAAGTTAAATGTATGGCAAGCTCCCACACTTAATAAAGACCTCTACTCGCTGACCTTAACATAAAATTTGGATGTAGAAAGTCATTTCAAAATCTTTCCTCTCCTTAGGCCAAGCTCAGCAATCTACAAATACTTGCCCTCGTGGGAATTACTAATAGAATAAGAGCCCCACCTATCGCGGCTATCGGGGTTCATCTAATTCAACATATTTGCTAGTACCTTCTCAGCATAAAGTTAACAAGAAAGAGGCTTTGCCATGTCTCCAAGATTGATAGAAGTTAACTATCAGCCTTATTCTGTATCACGAACGATATGCAACACGAACGATTCGACTGCAGAGGAATGCTTCAAAAATTAGTCCGGCGGCATCATTTTAGCCGGTTTAAACGCAACCGAGACCATTGCAACGTAATGTATGAAAAGCAAGACGAAGACGACCGATAGAGTGTAAAACCGCAATCTGAGAAGTTGTCGTCTGCAGACGAATCGTTCGTTTTGCCTATCGTTCGTGATACAGAATAAGGCCCTATGTCTCTCAGTATGTGGTTCATCCCATTGAACTTTGTCTGACAGCAGGTCGATGCTGTTCGCACTGAAATCCCACGAGCTTATCCCAAAGTTAAAGCGGGATTGTTTTCAACTTTTAATAATCACCGCATCCAGAAAGCGCACTTGCTTCATTACCGATATCCGGTAGAGTTATGAGCATATATTCCACCAGGAAGGGAACTGGAAGGGTACTAAAAGCTCCAAAACGCTTCATGGCTCTGGAATCAAGCTCCATTGGGTGTTGGTTGGTGGGTTAAATTGACGAATTTGGCTGGGTGTAATCTGAATATCTAGATTAAGAAAAAAAAACTCAGAAAGTAACTAACAGGCTAAATCTTTCATACCATCAACATGAATAACCAATCCATTCCTTCTTCTTACAAGGTACGATGGAAGAAGACTTTCTTGCTGGATTATAAAGCTCTGTTTAGTGCAGGGGATGACACGAAGAATAGGAAGTATCAACGCAAATTAGGTGCAAGTGTGAAGCCTTTATTAGGTCAATACTTGCTTAACAAGGATATATCACGGGCACTTAAACTATTTTTTAGGCAAATGATTCATTCTCTAGATGGTATTTTTTTTTTTAGAAATGGAGACTAATTAATGGCGAAATCGATAGTTTTGAAATTTTCGTCAACAAGGTTTGATGGTTGTCACCATTGATTAATTTGAATATTCAAATCTTAGCTGAATAAATGTACCTAAAAACTTGAAATCCAACCGAGCTGATGCCAAGAATTATTTAGAAAATTCTTACTTCTAAAAGCCTAGGCCAAAAAAATGGATCTACATACAAACATATGTAGTGTATTTCAAAACGAATTAGAAAGTCAGAACTTTGTTGCGGAACTTCAGTGAGGGTTCCGCAAAGACCTGGAGCAAATAAAGGTGATCAATCTTCACTTTCGGAAATGGAGAGTACACGAAAACTGTTAGTGAAACTCAGAACCGACGTTGCGAGGCTTATAACACAGCCACATAAAAAAAGTGAATTTGAATCCCGTTTTGCTCCATCAAGTCAGAGTCAGAGTTCCTATTCTCAAAAACGTGCCTTTTATATATTATCAGCCATGTTTTTGAAAGTATACTACTTGAAACACATTGAATACCACGATCCACGGGCCACAGCTGAAAATTGTTTATCTGCATTATCTAAAGGCTTTGTCGATGATGACATACATTTTTTTAACGCATCGGTCACAACGGTGATAAGGACGAACCTTACCTGTCGCCAAAAAAAAAAGGAATAGAACAAATCTGGCTACAACCACGATCGCGGTGTAGCTCTGTCGCTACTAAAATAATTATCTACATAAGAGTACGTGTGAAGATCATGCCCATCGTTTTCAATGCATAAGAGCTATTCGTTCAGGGGGTGATTTATAATTTTTTTGAGTTGATCAAAAACTAAATATACAAAAAAAAACTAAAAGTTAATTCTATATTGAATGCTGTTGGAAAAAATTACTTAAAAGGACTGCAACTAGTCTACTGTGAGCTCCTACAAGTTCTAGGCTACAACAAGAAATGTACATAAGGGTCTTCCGATCCTTCCTTCAGACATTGTATCACATTTTTAAACCATGGTATGAAACAAAAACTTCGGAACCCTTCGGTATGTTTGGGTATCTTATTTTATTCGGGACTTTTCTGGGGAAAGCTTATCATTTGGCAGTTAATTGAATTGTTTATTAAATTGTAATTGAAAAGTTTATGAGTTTGAGGATGGTGAGTGTTTCCCTCCTACAACAGTGCATACATTAGGGTGGTCCTTAAAAATATTAACATCATGGGGCACCCTATTATTTTGTTCTACTTACAAAATAAAGACATCCACGAAAAAAAAATAATAATAATTTGGGGTAGCTACCAGAGTGGGAAAAAGTTTATATTTTTTATATCGCAAAAATTCACTAAATTTGAGCCTTAACCAGCTATACCTGAGCGATTTTATAAATTTATGTAGATAAGTTTCAATAAAATTTAACAAATTTTAGCGATTGGGAAAAAATTTTAATTTTTTATACCCTGCTAGCGCCCACTAAAAATTTGTTGTAGGGTTCGCCCCGTACAAAATGTAGATGTCGGTATTTTAAGAAGTTTTTATAAAGTTTTTTTATTTTTTCTAGACACTGAACCATTTGCTTTCCTTAACCTCTTCTTCCTCCACGTCTACGTTTCGACATTCTACGTTTGCGCTTTGGATAGACGCGTTGCACTCGCTGCCTGCGTTTTGGCCGTCCAGCACGACGTCTACGTGCGCGTGCGCCATCATCATCGTTCATGGCATCGGACAACGATCGATTTCCTGTAGTTGTGTAGTACGGCACCGGGAATGGTGTGGGCACATAGGTTGGCGTATAGTAGATAATCGGCGAAGTTGTTGGTGAAGTGTACGAAAGCGTTGGTGAAGTGACTGGCGATATTGTGATAGTCGATGTTGGCGATGTATTGCCGGTATTGCAATTGCCTAAGATTTGGCATAATTTTGATGAAAGTAAGCTGCCACCCAATCCATTAATGGCAGGTAGTGAAGTAGCCAAAATAACAAAGAAAATATGTAATAACATTTTTGAAAGTTGACTTCAGACTTCGAGGTTCACAGTTTGTTGCATGACTCGCAACTAATGCACTTGTGTAACACTTCTACTGTTTTTATAGTGAAAATTTCTAGCAGAAAAAAGCTTACGCATTTGTTTAAACAAATTGTTTGCATGAAAATTGGAGCACCGATCGATTACTAGGCTGTGGATTTTGGGAATAATCTTTAAGATAAATTAATTGATGAAGCATTGTGTGTACACTAGCGTGGTCCAAAAATGCAAGTGAACGAGTAAAGTCGGAATTTTAAAACTCTCACCCACTACGTTCTATACCGAAAAAAACTTAACCTTTCTTTAATTTGAAATAAAAAATATATTTAGGGGACCCATTTGAGGTTTTTAGGGATCCTATAAAAAATGGCTAATAATAGAAAATGATTAAATAAACAATGGGGTATTGTTATTGCAAGACTTCTGCAGATAAACCGAAGTTTTGCGATTGAAAAATATTGAGTTTCAA